TTGCGGATTTAGAAAGCTGTTTAGAGGGGAGGGTCGCCGGATTATTGCTCACGAAGATGTTCGGTAGGGAAGGGACTATCGGCAGAAAATTGGCTATGCTACATCAGTGCTACTAAGAGCTAATGTCTTGATGATAATTGAAGAGTTTTGCGCCCCCAATGGCACTGCACCCTGAGGAGGCTGCCTCACTTGCTTACCTTTAACCGGCTCTGGATACTAGCACTTATAAGCTGGTGGTATTTGCCCTTTTTGAAAGGACGATACCGCTCAAATTCGGATATCGCTGTACCGAAATACGGATCCTCGCACGTTTGAATTAAGAGACTCCCAACGAGTAATGGTCTACAAAGCAATACTTGTGTGAAGTTTGGACTATGGACTGTTTTTGGATTAATTTATGTTGATATTTTAACCTTAAATTTATCGCTAAAGATGAAAATAGTATTAAACAAAGGTAAAGCATATGTGACCAAAGTTTAGTGATATAGAAAAAGCAAGCTATAAATCATTTCAGACAGCAACACAGTCATAAACGCAAACAACGGCAAGGGGAAATTGTAAATTATGTGTTACCCTCAAAAATCAACCTCTACGACCCGATTTTATTAATCCGGGGCGCAAAATTTGCGCCTATCGCACAAATTCGATTAATGAGAAGGCATTTTTGAAGTAATGTTCTAATGAAAATGTATCTGAAACTAGAGATGGGCTCCGAATATCTAAAAACGGATATATTTTTAACAATCCATCAACATGTGCGTATTAAGGTTAGCTACAAAAAGATATTTTTCATATGTTTGTATCAGGTCAGTCAAACTAGATCATTGATTTTTGTCATTGCTGTACAAAATTCTGCTTAAGAAAAATTCTTTCAACAGCTACCCAGCGCCAAGGTGGCATGTTTTCGAAAAACCTATATTATCATTAAAAATCGATATAATGTTACTTTTTACTTCCCCCGCTATGGCCGCCTATTATAATCGTGAAAAATTTCAAAAATTTGGTTTTTGAGTGTTGTATGACAGGCACATCACGAAAATCCATGTCACTTATTTCCGTCTATCTGACCGATAACCCTTGGACTGTCTGTAACTTGGAAAGTAAGGTTCGGATTTTTTCAGCGCCATGCTTAAAGGTGGCATGGCTTTCTTTTTTCCTTTTGATGTCTTTTGATATGAGGTGCTTTCTGGAGACTCCAAAAAGTTTGAAATCGTTTTCCTACTCCGGTCAGTATTTTTTGAAATGTCGGAGATAGAAAATCGCTCATTTTCATTTGCTGAATACAATTCCTTTCAACTCATATTAAAGATTTAGCTCGTCCCATTGCACAAAATATAATGTCACCAACATGAAAGCAGAAACAGAAACTCTGGATTAGCCTTGTTTTTGTCACAACAGAAATCAAGTATTATTTATTCATTCTTATAAATTATTTTTACGATCTCATTATCAAGAAAAATACGTTCTAATTTTAGACAAATAGGTCCATGTAATAAATCAACGAAGTATATCAGTTGTTAAATTGGTTTTAGAGTTAAAAAAAATTCCCTGACCTTAGTGTGTATCCATCTATGAAGATACGAGTTTAGTATAAGCCATAAAGAATACTTTCTTGATCATAGCAATAGGGTATCTTGACCCTTATAAAGATTATCTGGATCTCATGAATGCACTAAGTCCAAGCATCCAAGTGAACCACACCGGGGATGTTCAACGACAATCGATTGAGCTTGAAACACACGCGCACGCGGGGATGCCACCAGCCATATATATATATAATATATATATAATATAACATACAGCATGGACGGCAATACAATATGGAACAATGATGATTGTATATAATTTAGAAAATATGATGGACAAGTAGTATATCTGTGATCAATCGTGACTTGTCTCATATATTTACTCATATAAAAATCGCTCAAACTTAGTTTTTTAGTAGGTACCTTACAGGTTTTGAGAATAGATTCTCTAGCGAAAAGTATTTATTGAATGAAAATTATGTTTCGTAGGTTGTAAATGGATGAAAAATATCCCTCTCCACCATGAATGAGTGTCCAAGAAAACAAAAGTAATTACTAGTGATTGTCAATGAATTCATCCAAAACAGATTATCTATCTGAGCTACTGTCTCTTAGGGCCGTATGACCAGTCGGTCCTACAATTGTAGGACGCCTTTATGGCCTCCATGATTTTCATAGTTCTCCAATGTACGGTGTCAGAACTAACTTTTTTTGAGGTTATGTCACAGATATTATATTTGGGTCAAATTTTGATTTATCATCTGTTTTATCAGCCTGAAATTTTCTACAGCTCAAAAAGAAAATAGAACTTCGCAATATGAGAGCGCAGATGCTGACACGGAACAGATGAAATCTAGAAATACCCCGGCCTTTCTGAAGGACAGAAAAAACTATGACAATCAAAGAGGCTCTAAATGACAATAACCGTGTTTAGACACCATCAGTGGACGCCATGTTTTCGGAGTCATCTCTTATCTCTTGTTCTATTTTTATTCGTCTTGTCTAAGTGACCCTTTATATAACTACTCTTTGGTTATACCAAGAGAAGACAGCCAAATAAATTATAAAAAGTTAAGAAATGAATGCGGTGTTGCAAGTTAAATAATCCTTTTTAGATGAATTCGTTGTCCATTACCTGTAGCAAATTTAGTTCTGATTTGACATTTGATCATGCTATGTATCATCCGTTTGCATATTTTCCGAGCAAATGCGAAGATACCTCGTGGACTAGTATTGAGAAATCATCATGTCATCACTGGAAATAAATTTTAAAATTGCTTATTTGCATTCGTCACTAATACACCTATAACATTCACGTTAACATTCCATCATGTTGTCACCGTTCCGCCGTATTGAGATTTCCTTGAAGACCGTTTGTCAATGGAACCATGCGAATGGAATGCACGCACCGTTATCCGCGATGACACATACAGACAAGTATAACTGTGACGACAATCAAGTCACAGATACACGACAATGTACCATTCCTTCTCTCTACTCAAGCTGTTGTTATCGCCTCGTGAGTATCTCTGTTGATATGCTTTTCCGATAGTTATTAGTTGTGTTCGTTTTGCAGGTGGAGTGAGACAGAGGTGAATGTCTAGTTGGTGACTAGATAGCTCCTAGTATGCAAATAGTTAATTCCGCTCTTGTCCGCTATGAGCGTCAACCATGCTATTCGCCAGCATACTTTGTTGGTTGCAGATTGCCGTGATGGACAGTAGCGTATATCTCTGAGATGTGACCGAAATAAAATTGGTTGAGCAGCAAGATCGATGATTGGTGATTATGTGAATAAAATCAGCGAAATTTGCTATGTGAAAATTATTACGGAACATGCTGCCCATGAAGAAGATCTATTAGCTGTACCAGACGGGTTATTTGTGTTGTCCTTTCTGAAGAGAAGTTATAAGTTTTGCTTTTCAAAAACTTTGTGACGTATTACGGGAAATCACCACCTCACCTGCGTTGTGTGTAATTTAACTACATCACAGAAAAATTTGGAATACCGCATCACACACAAAATATTTTGTGTGTCTCATATCTAGGCGCTGATTTGTATTTTTTACTTGATATCCCAAAATAAATTTTAATATAATTTATATGACTGGAATTAAAAAATAATGTAAAATAAACGTGTCACGTTTCATGAATATTCCTATTTTTTCACCTGTTAGTTGTAATATACTTCACCAACCAGAAATTTTTACTTTTTGTCTGTTTTTTGAAATCCAGCAAATATGCATAATATGAAATTTCCAGGATGAAGCATACATCTCAAATAAGTCTCTTTAATCCTCACTAAGCACATGCACTGCCGCCCGTTTCCTTCCAGCTGTAGCATACATACAGCTTAGATTAGATCTCCAATAATAATAAATAATGCCATCTCTGAAGTCGATGATACATCATATTAAAATCCAACCATGACCTTTTAAGCGACATAATGTTACTTATCAAGATACGTAAACCCCTGCGGCTGTCCATAGTTTGACGTTTCAAGAATTGGACGCCACTGCTGTTTCAGATGCGCGGCTAATGTCACATTCGGCCCAACTGTTTTAAGTTTTTTGCTCCTTCAGCCATTCAGCGCATAGTATCGCATGGATGTATCCAGTTGTCAATTTTGAAAATTATCGTTTACATTAAGATCCTTTTATTTTCCACTAATACGATTGTATTATTGTATTATTAATTACGTTAAGGGTTCTGCGATTTCATCATGTATTAACTGTATTGCATCGGCCTTGAAACCGTCCAGCCCTGGAGCGTTTTTTCTTTTTCATAGTCAGTATTACCTTTGCTACATACAGCTTTCTCAATCTAAAAGTATTATGCGATTGCAAGTATGATTAAAGTTCAAAATCTGGGAAGTGCCGTCTGATATTTTGATTTGGCTAATGTTTCCCTTTACTTCTCCAGAATAACTTATTTCATTGATTATTTTCCACAGACCTGCAGGATTTTACGATGTTTGTTCAACTGTTTTTGGAAATATTCTTTTTTAATTTTTTTGTTTGTATTTTCTACAACATATTAAGTTGTTATTTATTCAATAAGTTAAGACGACCTATAGAAATATTATTTAGACATTTTGAGTTTTTATAATACCTATCAATCCAAGACCTGATAATACGTTATATATAAAATATCACATCAATAAAATCGGAAATATGGACTGCTCAGCTATCCCAATTCATAAAAACTGAAGGAATGCTTGGCTGACGATACGAAACAAATGCGATGTTCAAGGCATAATTAGGAAATTATGTTTTTTTAAATAACTCAGGTTTGGCAAAATATCATTATATGAGATATTATACATTTTTAGAATCAGAATAAAAAATTAACAGCCCTATTAACATTATTGCAAACATTATGAATACCCTCAGAGGTATCTGTATCAATCCCACTTATTCCGAGTAATTTTTGATATCGCCGCAAAATTTTCGACTTTCGACCTTCATGGCGACTTTAAGATTGTCTTCTGGAACTTGGTTCACTATAAGCATTTCCACTTCCACTCGTATAATGCAAATCCAATAAGTTCTGTGAAATGTTTCTAGATCGTCTACAAAAGGATAAAGATATTTCTATAACTCTGACGATGGCGTTTGATTTTATACGCACTGCATATACAACCCAGCCCCACCTTGGGCTCCAAATGGGTCGTAATGTATAATTCATCAAAACTGATTATCAATGATATCAAGAAACGTGACTTTTCTCTAATGATGATAAAAAATTCTGAAGATGCTATGAAACAAATTTAAGTTAAGCTAGCTTGTCAATAACTAAAAGACGGATACTTAATATAATACTACTTGTAAAAGTAAAAAAAGGTTAAAGTAGAAGGATGAAACTTCACACGAAAACATCTATTTTATTATCCGGCAAGAGAAATCAATAATTTACATAGATTGTGCGGATACTGTTGCAGAGAAAAGAATCGGTGTCAAAGTACATTCCCAGTTCTTAAAAGACCAACCAACATTCCACAAAAATGATTCTTACTTGAAAATATAGGTATAAATCTTGCGCGTGATGAACTAAAATAGTCATATTTTAAATCGTTACTCCAAGTTTAGCGTTATTAAAACAACCTAAACGAACATTGGAAGAAATCAAAAATCAAATCCAAGCAAATAACCAAAATTTCTGTATTATGTGCCGCGGTTATAATATGGTTCAAGATGACACACGGGTTGATAACGTCAGTTACACGAATCGCTTGATCGCGTTGGTTTTAACCGCGGTTTTGTTGCAAGTTGTTTATTTTATCACTTAATAATCTGTGCTTTTTTGTCTACAAGGGTGTATGGGAAGATTAAATAAGAAACATTTCATAATATTCATAAGAGAAACGTTTTTTTTTTTTTCAGAAAAAAATTTTAATGATGGAACCATGTTTTTGTAGCTATGATAACTTTCAATTCTCTAAAGTTTTCCGCATGTCAAAGAAAACATTTATTGATATATTATACAGGTGGACATCATCCAGTGAGTTAAGTGGCCATATTTTAATATTCTTGTGGTATATGGCTACACAGGATACTTTGTTAAACATAGGAACTAGATTGAAAGTGTTCTCAACAACAGTAATGAGTATAACTAATAAGGTGCTCCACTTTATGCTAACACTGAAGTCAGCCTTTATCAAGTTTCCCAAAAATGAAGCTGAAGTACAATAACAATATCCAATACCCGGCAAAATTCTGACTTGTGACATTTCAAATAATAACCAAACATATAAAACTACTCCTGAGTTGGGTAAATACCATAATTTTGCGGTGATAACTGTGACATATAACAGCTGATTCATGACGTCACGGACTTATAACCAAACTGATAACCACACTCGCTTGAACAGATCGGTAAATACCATCCCAAGATGGTAAATACCATTTTCATTTGGTTATCCCCTTGAATTTGATTAAATATTAGCAATTTGTCGCACTTGACAAACGTCAAATGTCATACTTCAAGTCACCATTCTATGCTTCACCGTCCCTGTGACTCAGACAACCAAAATGGAAAAAACATTAAAACAATTAAAAAGATTCCAGATAAATCTTAGTAAGCTAACATTTCTAAATGAATCAGGAATATGCGGCCAACAACAATCAAGTTATCTGAATAGAGAAGGGGAGGAGTAAAGAATGCGCGTGTAGGCTGTTGATAAAAAGGGTGGGGGAAAACGCTACGGTACACGGTCCCGTTCGGCGCATTTAACAACATTCCCAGCGCATTCCAAGGAAAACCGAGGGGAAAACCAACCTGATATCTTCGATATCCTCGTCTGGGGCCTGTTGTGTCCGCTGTTTTAGTTGCTCTTCTTCTTCCACTTGTAGTTCCTGAGCACACCTTTCCGATTGCTCCTTGAGCAGGGGGTAAAAAGCATGCGAGGGCGAAAAGAACGGCAACATTGTCTTGCGTGGTGTTTGTGTTTACGTTGCCGTCGTGCAGGCGCGGCGCCATTTCGGCTATCACGACGATGGAAGGTGCCGTCGTCGTGCCGTCAACGGAACAGGACGGCAACACGGATGGTTCGCAAAAACCCTGCACGCGGCAAACGGCACAGCACGGATCGTTGCAGGAGATTTGTACTGCACAGCAGCAGCGAGAGGTGTGCGTTTGTTGCACGCGAACGTTACAAAACCGACTGAGAAGGACGATCGACACAAACGGCGTTGCAGCGCGATCTCGCCGCATGGCAGGCACGCAGGCCGCCGCCGCCGGCCGGCGACAAATGGCAGGCCATGTTGCCGATATTTACAGGAATTTCTTCTTCTCTTCTTTTTACCGCTCGAGCCGCGTCCGCACGCTTGGTAAACCTCAACAAATCGCACACGCGAACGTGCGGATAGAGCGTTTCGCTTTGTTTACAAGGGCTTGTAGCCGATCCGCGGGGTTATTACGTATAAAACCCATGTAATATAAAAAAAAAACGACAAAATGTTAACTTGCTGACTAGATTGCTGCTAGTATGCAAATGTTCATTCCGCGCTTGCTCGCTGTGAGCGACACCTAAGGAAGAATGACTCTACGACATGCTCAACGACCATGCTGCTTGCTGCAAGTCAGTTCGCCTGCATGCTTTGTTGATTGATGAAGAATGCCGAGATAGTCTGTAGAGAATATCTCTGAGAAGATGTGATGTATGTGTATTGGTTTGGCAAATGTATAAAATCAGTGAAGATGGCTATGTGAGAAAATTATTAATGAATAATATGCTGTCCATGAAGTTAATCTATTAGCTGTACCAGACGAGTTATTTGTGTGGTCCTTTCTGCAGAAAGGTTATAAAGCTATAAAATACAATTTTCAACAATTTTTTTTTTCTTGCGTTCTCAAAAACTTTGTGAAGCATTACGAGAAATCACATCCGCATCCACGTTGTGTGTAATTAAGCATCATCACAGAAAAATTAAGAACGACGTATCACGCACACAAAACATTTTCGCAATGTCTCGCATCTTGGAGCTGATTTGTGTTTTCTGCTTGACATCGCAAAATTAATTTCTATGAAATTTAAATGACTGGAAATAAAAAATAATGTAAAAAAATATTCCTGTCTGTAGCCTATTTTATCACGTGTTGCATATGTAGTTTAAAAGATGAAGCATACATTCTCAAGTAAGTGTATTTGAGACAAGAAACCAAATGAATTATCATCAACACACATTATTTAACACAAATCTTCACTAAGCACCTATGCACTGCCGTTTCGCCCGTTTCCTTCCAGCTATAGTATACAACTACAGCTTAGACCTCTAATGCCATCCTTGAAGCAGATGTTACATCACATGAGAGCCAAACCATGATAGCTCAAGTGTCATGACGCTAAGGAAACACGTTAGTTTCACAATTTCACAACGACTGCACATGAAGCAGCTAGTTCAAAGTTGACATCTTATAGGAAAACCTATATAATACCACAAAGAAGCTATAGAATGTTAAAAAAACTGACATAATGTCACCTTTCAATATACGTAATACCCCTGCCGATCGAGTGTTGGTTCTTGGTACCAAGTCAAAGGGGTTTGCCGCAAGCATTTGCGATGCGTCCACATGTTTGTGCGACCTCCACCTCAATATCGACGAGGTCTCGCTTATGCTTATACATTGGTGGCTAATAGATGAACATTTGTTCAGTAGGCCCAACTTACCTTTAGTGTTGCACAACTCAACTCAGTACTTAGATCAATTGAATTAATCAATGAATTAACTATTTTGAGTTGTTTGAGCAAGAAACATATAATAAAAATAACTTTATTTCCGGATGACTACTCAATTATTAGTATTGGAATTGTCAATTTTCAGGTATATCATGTACGAGTATATATAAAACAAACATAACAAGAATGACTAAAATAACATCATAAAATGAGACAAACGTTGATGAATACAAAAGAGAACATCTTATTACTGACAGCGTCGTGCGCTTTTGGGGGAATCCCCGAGTTATACATAGAGCTAAGCTAGTGCTTGTGCGATTCAATTTTTTTATGTTTGTATATTGTTCTTAAAGATGAGTCACCGGGCGGGTCATCCCAAAAAAGGTGACACCAGGTGCGAACCGCCACCGCCGCCCCCCCATGCTACGCCACTGTTAGTACATCTTCTGTCTGGTGTAATTAATAACATTGAATATATCTCCTATTTATGCAGAAAGAACTTAAGTTTTCTTTAATATAAACAAGGCATCTGTAAATATAAAGAGAGTGAACTGTCATTATATTCAACTTACGATGTAGTTCCCATTTCTAGTGCCCTAAAAGTATGTACATATATAAATAAAACAAATAAATTTATTCGATAAATTATATTTTTTTTTAATAAAATATATGAAAGAATAACGATTCAGTAGGAAATAACGTCATTGTAATCTTAGTGAATAGTTTCCATTCCTGTCAAGAATAGACGTGTGGATTCAGTGTAACAGGACTGGAACTTGCTCATAGTACCAGGATCGGCATGGACAGACTGGGTGGGCCACCCAGAGCAAAAAAAAGGGGCCAAGTAGTTGCCTCTGTACTTCATAGGCACCGCTGCCATTAGTTAAAGTTACCTCCCTTGAGAAAGATGTTAGCTAATGACATGTATAACAAACAAACAGAAATTGATCAGGTCAATCAGACTTACTCGTTCACTTTTTGATACTAATGACATAGAAATAGCATAGGCATCAATAAACCATGATATTCAAAAAGTGTAAGAGAACAGAGGTTTAAAGTCAACTGGCTGTTAAAATTGGATCTCAAAGACTGTACCAGGGTGTTGAGGTTAAAATTCTTGGCGTAATAATTAATTCCAAACAGATTCACAAATCACGTCATGAACCTTTTAAAGAAAACCTATTTGAGACTGAGTTCATCATATATACTATCCATGTCGAGATATTACTAGAAATCGGATTCAATTTGAGCAAAATAATTGTGCTCGGTTCATCTGCGGATTAAGGCGCTTTGACCATCTTTCTGGTAGACTTATAAAATTAAACTGGATGGAAACAAACACTATTGTGAAATATCATTATCTTGTATTCATCCATAAACTAATACTTTTGTCCAAAACCAAGAGAAACGCGAATCTTTAGGTATAACATACATGATAGACATATTAGATTTCCAAATATGATACCTGCTCTTATTCACTCTTCAGCTTTCTTTCACGTACAATGATACAGTTTTAAATAATGCTTGGGGTCCTGAATTCAAAAACATGTCCCTAAAATGCTTCAAGAGAGCTGTTAAATCTCAAATAGGATTCGATGCATAGCTTAAGCATGTTGCTCTTGTCGTTGTTAATGTTTTTCTTTTCTTTCTTTGTGTATAATTGTATATAGTAAACTTTTGCGCAACATGCTATATATCTTTTTTTGTTTTCGATATCTGCTACCTAACAACTTTTGTATTTTTTTGCTTGGATGGTTTAAGTGTAAAAGTAGTGTGTTGCTTAACTTCGCAACCATTTGCAACAATTTTTTTCTGTATTGAATTGTACAGTTTGAATAAAGACGATTATTCTTAATATTATTGTTATTATTATTTGAAACATTGCGATCTAGAAGTTTTTTTCCTATCCTACCGACAGAACCGACCACCTGCCATCGTTGCTATGACTCACCTCGCCACTCCCCAGCCGTCCATCTCCATCGGTCAAGACACGATTCCGACCTCGAAGCAGGTGTACCATAGTTGTAATAGTAGAATAGTAGTAGTAATATTAGTAGTAGTGGTGGTGGTGGGGATGCGGAGCCTGGCAACTAGGCCACCTTTGACTCATTCTGCCGTCCCGGTTCTGTTCTACTCCACAACCCATCTAAAGCGATGCGGTGTACCTACCACCTATGTTGATCGGCCTGGTGCGTAATATAGACAATAAATACAACGTCGATGACACGAAATTAACATCAGAGGCGGATATTTAAACCCGGAAGCTTTCGAGACGACCCACTAGCAACTCGACGCGATAACAGCTCGGCTACCCTGCCTCACGTCATATTCTAAGCTCAAGATTTACTTGATTCGAAAACAACATGAATTTAAAATATCTAGCTTACATTCTCTTTTAAGGGCACCCATTAATTGAGATTTACTCCACCCCTTACAACCACCCCCCCCCCTGCTATTTTCAACACCCACAAACAAATTTCTGAAAACGATCAAGAGCCTCTGGAATGTCAAAAAAAATACGAAATTTTAAGAGATTTTTACTTTTCATTTTTGCCCCTAGCACCATCAACACTGAACTGATTTCCAAAAAAATGGAGCTACACTTCCAACGCAACGCCGTCATCAGTTCATAATGGACTATGTTCAGCACAAGTTAGACCCGATCTAAATAAGACAGCGCCATAGCTTATGACCTTGGTAGAGGAGAGTTGTTATGCTTTTGTACTTTGTCGCAGAGACTGATTCAAGAATAGGATGAAGAGTTGCCAAAAAAAGCACAAAGCATTCCGTGGTTGGCTATCTTTGGTTTGGTTGGATAGACGAAAGCACCATGGTTAAGCTATATCCTCTAGGAAAGAGAAATTAAACGGATAAAGTCCATCAAACAGGTCCGTACAATTACTCTATAACATCCTTTCACTGCCCTACCCGTAGTACCCTTCATCCGGCAACGCCGCGTCGCCTCTCCCCAATATCAGAACGCATTAAGTTTTAAGGACAAATGTACGGAGCAATCTATGACGTGTGAAATACGTCTAATAGGTGCGTAGAATTATTGTGGGTGGAAGTGTATTAAAAAATCAAAAAATTGCCTCCCCTACCACCCAATATTTTACAACATAAAAAAATTGGTATACACCCTTCCCTACCACCGAAGTTTTAGCGATTTTTATTTTTTTTTTTTTTCGTTTCTGGCGTTTTCCTCCGCCGTCACTGGACCGATTTTCAAACACTGGAGGCGTATGAAAATACTAACATCAAAAAATTGAAATATACTACAAACATTTTTTGTCCTTGGCAAATCCAAAACACTCAACATCTAATAAAGCTGGCCGGTGAACAGTAAGCTAGCAAGGATTTATCAGGAGTACTCATTATCTGGCTTCTCGTTCCTCCCATAGTTTCTAGAATCTTGAGAGATGATAGCGATTGTTTGGTGGAATTCTCAATACGAAATCGTTGTGTAAATGAGTAAGAGAATACTCGTAGTAAAGTGATGTAGGAGGAGGCGCCCGCTATCCAGCACGTATGCGCCAGAGTTTGAATGGTGCTTGAAATCTCCAGAACCTCCGCCTCTTGTTTTGCTAGGAGAGGGCCATAGCGGCGACATACGAATTCGTGAGTTGCGCCCGATTAAGAGTTATAAAATTAG